GGGCTAGTGCATGGGGCCTGAGTCGGGGGGGCGAAGCCACGAGGCGCCGCCGCGCACGCTGTGGCCACCGTTGCTGGGCGCTTCCCGGCACCGCGATCCCGCTGTCTCGACGCAGCCTCCAGCGGCAACAACAACGGGACCGGGAGCGCGCGGCCCGGGCCCTCCCCCCGCGTCATGCGCACGCACCGCCACCCCCGCCAGCTCCGGCACACGCTACCCGAGCCCCCTCCCCGTCGCCCCCGCCCCTCCAGCGCGCGGGCCCCAGCGCCCCCGCCCCTTGCTAGCTAGCTGGCTCCGCAACCTCCACCCCCGAGCCGCGCTCCAGGCCTGGCGCCCGGGCCCCTCCCACCCAGCCTCAGCCCTTCCGCCTCCTCACCAGCCCCCACCCACGCCGCCTGGAGGGCCACCCGCTCGGAGGGGACAGCTGCCCAGACCTCCTCCCGAGCCCAGCTGTCGTTTTCGCCTCCCTGCGCATATCTGGGCAGGGTGTTGGGTCTCTGGGCAATGTACAAACTGTACCCCGCGCGCCGGAGGGTGCTGATGAACGCCAATTATTGGCCCAGCAGCTCCTAGCTTACAGCGTCCTGCCTTCAGTGCAGCATAGGCTCCCCTGTCCCCAGGCCCCGAGGTCAACCCTAGAGTCCACCCCGCCGCCAGGTCTCCCTGGCTCACTGCCCAGACTCTCCACTGTTGGCTGCAGCTTAGGGGCTGGGATGGATTCTCAGCTGCTATTTCCAGTTCTCCTTGAGGCTTGGTGGATGGCCCCTGGAAATGACACTTTGAACAACAAAGTCCCCACGCTTATCCTCTTGTAACGGGTCTATCCTAAAAGACACCGCCCCCTTGCATGCGCCGGACTGGGAGGCTTCCTGACCCCCGACATAGAGGAAGAAGAGGGGAAAAAATCAAATACTATGCCTTTTCCTTCCCTACCCACCCCATTCAGGAGACTAGACAGGGCCCACATGGTGCTCTTAATTTTCCTTGTCCTCACTCCCTTGTCCATCCTCTTTCTGGAGCCAGGAGTGCCCTTGAAATGTCCCAGTTACTAGAGCATTCCCATTGCCAAAGCTGTCTGCAGCTGAACCCCCCCCCCAATACACCCCTGCCAATACATTTCCTAAAACCCACCAGAGATCGCATGTATGCTGCAGCGGCCCCAGCCAATAAATGTGTCAAGGATATAGCAGGATATTTGCTACACCAGATATCCCCAGATAGTTGACACATGTCATCCTTTTTACACACACTTTCAATTCTCATGCCAAGTTCAACCTCTCCCCCGCCTCCGCCCCCTCCTACCCCCATAAAATTACCCATCATTTGACTACTCACACAACTTGGCCCCAGTACCAAACCAGTCACCACTCCCAAGTGTCTTAAACCTTCCAAAGAATCAGGTGCACAGGTAATCAACACATGAGATGTCCTGTGCTCCTGAAGGGCATGGGTTTCTATCTACCTATATGACCTTAAGGATGTCTTGAACCTTCTCAGGGCTTCATCTGCAAAATATAGTGGTTGAACAGAAAACCTAGCTGTGGCATTCTATAATTCTAAAACTAACATCCAACATCCCTTTCAGATGCTTAATTAGAACTGACAGCAAGAAGTTATATCAGCTATACCTGCCAAAAGAGATGCTAAGGGCAAGAGACTCTAAGAGCCCCTTGAAGTATTGCCCCAGCAACCAGCACACACTTGTTTTAGCACTGATAGGCTATCAATGTGTCTGTCCTCTATTAGTAGATGAGCCATATAAGGGCAGGAAGAGGGTCTGATTCACCATTGCATTCTTGCACAATGCCTTGCAGGATTTATAGTACATATATTTAATAAATGTCTGTAGAATAAATGAATGGGAGGGAAAGAACTAGAGATAAGTTCGTTCAGTACCTTACAAATTCAAACAATATTCTCAAAACAACATTTGGGCAGTTTGCTCCCATAAGCAGGCATGAACTATGGAAAAACTAAGGTAGATTATCTTTAATCAAGACTAGCCTGCAAAATTCACCATGTGAAATCTCTGTGGCTACAGGAGCCCAGAAGAATCCACAAAAATCCACAAGCCAGGTTGGGACTTGACATCCTCTATTGTAAACCAATAAGGACTCACATTTCTGAGCCCAGGTTTGGGTAGATGGAGTGTACTAATACCAAGTGAGCAAACATCTACTATGTGACACAGATATAGTTTTCACATTTTTTAAATAAAGCCATCTAATTTCTTCCTTATAATTGATTGACTTATGAGGTATGTTCTAGGAACGAAGAAACATGTTCAAAGAGATTCAATAACCCATCCAAGGTCATATAGCTGATAAGCACCAGATAAGTGGCCAGGATTTGTTCCAGGTTACAAAGTTCATGCTTTTTTCACAGTCCCGCAGGGGCAATGAGGAGCAGAGGAACAAGGAAAGGGGCAGCCCTAGGGATTGATATCCTTAGCCGGCCTGGCTCAGCAGCCTGTGGGTACCGGAGTCTGGCCTGAAGTCACTTTGGGACTCCAAGGTGCCTTCTAGCGTCCACTCTGACACAAGGATACGACGGGGTAGGGACCACCTGAGCTCCCCATAGCTTCATCACCGCATCACCAACACGGTCACTCTGACGTGCTCTAGATGACGTCGGTGTCTAGACTGAAAGATGCCCCGGCTGCTGGCGGGGAAGGGGGAGGGTCTTGCTCCTACCCAAATCTCTGGGGCTAGCACAACTCCCATAGCTGCCCTTGCGGGTCTCCCGGCGGTCAGCTGGCATCAGGGACCACCGCTCGAACCCCGCGGGTGAGTCTGCAGAGCGAAGGTCGCGGACAGCGCGGGTCCGGACTACAAGTCCCACAATGCCACAGGCCGCCGCGGCGGAGAAGGAGGGGTGCTTTAGGTACTTGCGACCTCGGCGCCTCCTGCCCGGAAGTGCCGGAGGGGCCGAGATGGAGCTGGCGGAACCGAAGGGTGAGTCCCCGCGCTGCGACCGCGCCCACCCTGTCACCCAGGGCCTCAGCTGGGCCCCGCTCGCCCCGCCCCGGGAACGCTGTGCCCTCCTGCGGCTCCGGGGGGGCGGGCAGATGGGAGGGCTGATGAGGGGTAGGGAAGACGAAGTCTCAGGAGTGGGGGTGGGGAGGATGAAGTCTCGGATTCCCGAGCGGGATCTGGGGTCTGGGAGCTGGAAATCCGAGGCTTTGGGGAGGCTTCTAAACTAGACGCGGTGTCGGGCCCCCGCTGGGTGGGACTCGCAGGGACCAGGAGGGGGCAGAGTTGAGTGGGTGGCAATGCTTGGTGGCTCCAGATTGCCAAAGGGCGGAGTTTGACGTTTGGCGTGGGGGAGGTTTTTGGAAGCAGCCCCGTGCCATGCGTGGGGTTTGGGTAAATTGTAATGCGTGAGAGTGGGGGAGTCCATTCCCCCCCTTGGAGAAACTTTAGCGACAGAGTAAATGAGCTTTGGGGGTGAAGTAGGTAAAGGGTAAACTTTGGGATGAAGTGGACAAAAGAATAGATACCCTCTTTGGGGTAAGGTTTGATGGGGGTCGCTTAGAAAGTGAAGGTCCTTACCTTGAGATAGGGTTTGGGTTTAACTGGGGAACTAGTTAAAGACCTATACTCAGGTTACAGAGAGTTAGGAGTTGGGATTTGGAGATGGGAAGAGGCAAGTTTGGGGCAACTGGGACTGAGAGCAGTCTATGCTGGGGCAGGTAAGGGGACAGAGGCCTTAGGATTGAGGCAGAATGTGGTGGATGGAGGGCTCCTGACCAGGGAGCCTGCCCTTACGGGTTCTTTGTGCCTCTCCAGCTCGGTAGCACTGCGGGTAAGGCAGGCGCCATGACCCTGATTGAAGGGGTGGGTGATGAGGTGACCATCCTTTTCTCGGTGCTTGCCTGCCTTCTGGTGCTGGCCCTTGCCTGGGTCTCAACACATACTGCTGAGGGCACGGACCCACTGCCCCAGCCCTCAGGGCTCCCAACGTCAGTACCGCCCGGCGAAGCCATGGCAGCTACCAACAGCATCAGAGGGGAGGCCCCAGGGTCTGAGACCCCCAGCCTGAGACACAGAGGTCAAGCTGCACAGCCAGAACCTAGCCTGGGGGTCACAACAACAACACCACCCCCGGACTCCCCACAGGAGCCCCTAGTGCTACGACTGAAATTCCTCAATGATTCAGAGCAGGTGGCCAGGGTCTGGCCCCATGACACCATTGGCTCCTTGAAAAGGTAAGGGGGTAAGAGGGCAGGAGTGAATTGGGAGTGATTGCAGCCACCACAGAGATCTGAGATCTCCCCCTCAATTTGAGATCCCCAAATTGCATACCATACTGGTTACCCTGTGGCAGGCTATCCCCTTGGAGGCCATGGCCTGTGGCATGTGGAGGGCACAAGTGAGGATGGGAGTGTGTTCTGGGACAAGGGACTAGGGCTGCCTGAGGCCTACTCTCTTACCCAGTTCCCTCTCTCCTCAGGACCCAGTTTCCCGGCCGGGAACAGCAGGTGCGACTCATCTACCAAGGGCAGCTGCTAGGAGATGACACCCAGACCCTGAGCAGCCTTCATCTCCCGCCCAACTGCGTTCTCCACTGCCATGTGTCCACAAGAGTCGGGCCTCCACATCCCCCCTGCCCCCCTGGTTCAGAGCCAGGCTCCTCCGGGCTGGAAGTAGGCAGCCTTCTGCTGCCCCTGCTGCTGCTGCTGCTGCTGCTACTCTGGTACTGCCAGATCCAGTACCGGCCCTTCTTTCCCCTGACGGCTACCCTGGGCCTGGCCGGCTTCACTCTGCTCCTCAGTCTGCTGGCCTTTGCCATGTACCGCCCGTAGTGCCTCCACGGGCTCATGGCAGTATTGCTGGCCCCTCTGGACCTTGCTCCCCCCACCGTGGTGAGAGCTGCTGTCTGCCCAGGCCTGCCTCTCCAGCCTACTTATTTCCACTACCCTGGAGCCCAGCCCTGCATCAGAGGACTCCGAGGGCTGGCAGAGGCCCCTCCCTGTGATCTCCGTGGCTCCAGGCCACCTCCTGGGGCTGCTAGCCCACAGCCTCCACTAACAGTCAGCTCATCAGGGTCAGGCACCTGGTGTCCCTGTCTGGGCCCTGGTCAGAACCGGGCCACCCCCCTAGACTGGTCTTGGTGTCTTTCCCGTGGACCCAGACCCCTCTAGTTCCTGACAGCTCCTTGGGCTGATTTAGGGACCCAAGGACTTTGGGAGGCTGATGAAGGGGAGTTGAGAGGGGTAGTTCTCTGGAACTTGTGCACATTAAAGTAACTGTGAAGTTTTCTCTCTTGGTGTCTGCGTGTGTGGTGCCTGCGGGGCCGGAGGGCCCGTGGGAGGAAAGGGAGTGCAGGGCACAGACCAGCACAAAGGTGCTTTCCCTTCTCCCCTCCGCCGTCTGCCTTCTGCATTTGGCTCGCTGGTTCCGCCCCGACGCCATGCGTTCACTTCCTGGGGGGTGGGGCTCACTGCGGCCGGGCTCGCAGCGCCTGCCGGGAGCCACGTCTCAGCTGGCCCAGGGCCGCATGGTGATTGGCGTTCGGCGGCGCTCCGGGGGCTGCTGGGAAGATGGCGGACTTGGTGGCCCGCCGATGAGGAGGCCGCGGGGGGAGCCCGGCTCCCGGGCCCCGAGACCGACTGAGGGAGTGACCTGCGCGGGGCCCGGGGAGTCATGTAGGGGTGGCGCCTGCGGGGCGGGCCGCGGGAGGGCGGCGGGAGCTGGCGTTGGCGGCGGTGACCGCGGTCTCCTGGCGTCCCTGGGCAGGGGTGGATGTGGGGGCTCCCGACCTCAGCGACTCCGCGCCTTTGCAAAGCTGCGCACTCGAGTCCCACGCGCGTTGTGCGAGGTGGGCACTGCATTCTCATTTCACGAGTGAAGAGACTTAGGCGGAGAGACGAAGACGAAGGTCCAAGGTCACGCCGCTGGTAAGTGGGAGCGCCCAGCGTGGAACCCAGCACCGTCCGGCCGCGGAGTCCGCGTTCCGTCCTCCGTGCTGCCGCCGCCTCCTGAGGGAGGGGGAGGTGGTCGGAAGGGCGCATCGCCAGGGCCACCTGGGCTCTAGACTGGGCGCGACCACTAACCCGGTTAATGACCTCTGGCTTAACTAAAGCTGCTCTGGGCCGTGGTTTCTCCACCTGTGAAATGAGGTAATGCCTGCCCTGCCTACTCCTCGTGGGCGTGTAAGAAACATCAGAGAAAATGATGCATACGGAATTGCTTTGTAAATAGTGGTGTGCACGTTGAAGGAGTATGATGACAATTTCAAAGGAGGAAGGAGGCAGAGGGGCGGGTAGGGGAGAGGACCAGAGCAGTCACAAAGGGCTACTCTGAATCCCAGGCCCCTTTGGAGGGGGAGTGAGGTGAGTAGACAGCGGATCTTTCTCCTCTTTGGAGAAAACCTCACCCCCTTTTCTGGACCGCCCTTCAGGGTCTCCATCACCCAACTCCATGCTTCGAGTCCTGCTTTCTGCCCAGGCCTCTCCTGCTCGGCTGCATGGCCTGCTGCTGATTCCACCAGTACAGCCTTGCTGTTTGTGGCCCATTAAGTGGGGGAACCGGCCTCTTGGAGGATGCCCCAATGCAGGCCCTGTGCAAGGGCTGCAGCGACTTCTGGAACAGGCAAGGAGCCCTGGGGAGCTGCTGCGTTGGCTGGGCCAGAACCCCACCAAGGTGCGAGCCCACCACTACCCTGTGGCACTTCGTCGACTGGGCCAGCTCTTGGCATCTCAGCCACGGCCCCCTCCTGTGGAACAGGCCACACTGCAGGACTTGAGTCAGCTCATCATCCGTAACTGCCCCTCCTTTGACATTCACACCATCCATGTGTGTCTGCACCTTGCAGTCTTACTTGGTGAGGAGGGGCTTGAGGGCTTCTGGGGGGCTGGGTACTAATGGAAAAATAGAGAAAGAGAGACTTAAGCTCTCAGACTTTGTCCAGGACTACACATACCCAGGCACACTTCCCTTCTTGTGACGGCAGACATCATGAGTTAAACTGCATTTGTTCTAGTCTCTAAGGTGCCATCCTACATCCCTTCTGTAATACAGTACTCTTGGAAGCCACTACGATTTGTCAGTTTGTGTGAGATAAGAGCATGTTTGCCACCTTTGTATAAGGTCTTCCTCACAGACTGTTCTAATGCTTCACATTCACACAGTATTTTACATTTCTTCAGTGTCTATACTTAAAACTAGCACACCTTCCCACTCAGGAAATGGGAGAGGAGAAAGGTGGGGAATTTGCTAACCCCATGCTTACAACAAACCAGCACTGCTCTGTTATGGACGACCTTTGACTTCTCCCTCTTAGGCTTTCCATCAGATGGGCCCCTGGTGTGTGCCCTGGAACAGGAGCGAAGGTTCCGCCTCCCTCCAAAGCCACCTCCCCCTTTGCAACCTGTCTTCTGTGGTGGGCAAGGGTTGGAAGCTGCTCTGAGCTGCCCCCGTTTCCTGCGGTATCCACGGCAGCATCTGATCAGCAGCCTGGCAGGTGCTGCAGGGGGTTAAAGGCAAATGGGTGGGGGGTGCTGAGGAGGAGGAGAAAGATGGGTAGAGGTGGAATTTAGCCAACTGGAGGTCTGGCCTGAGGGTCCAACGTAATAGGCCGTTCTTCACAGAGGCCAGGCCAGAGGAACTGACCCCCCATGTGATGGTGCTCCTGGCCCAGCACCTGGCCCGACACCGGTTGCGGGAGCCCCAGCTTCTGGAAGCCATTGCCCACTTCCTGGTGGTCCAGGAAGCCCAGCTCAACAGCAAGGTGGGCTTGCTTCCTACCCACCAACGCTGAGTCATCCTTAGCATCTTCATCAGGCCCAGCCCTCTGTCAAGCTTGGCTGGCCTCTTCCTGCAGTAAACACCAGCGGGCTGCTTACTCTGTCTCCTGGGACCTCCATCTTTCCTTCTCTGGCTTGTCCAACACCCATAACTAGCATGTGCCTAAAGCTCTGCAGTTTTCCAAAGCACTTCCAGTACCACCCTAGCTTCATTGATCCTGCTTCTCAAAGCCTTCAGGGCCAGACCCCACAGAGATGTACCCTCTGCTTACATTTATTTGGTTATTTAGTCACCTGCTGCTTATGCTACTGAACTTGTATGTTGGGGGTTAGAAGGACTGTTCTTCCTTTATAGCAATGTTACAAGCTTGAGGGCTCAGCCTCCCCATGGCTCAGCTTGTAGAAGTTACCAGGGAGGTATTTTTGCTGGGTAATGAACTGGTCTTCCTTCACAGGTGGTGCAGAAGTTGGTTCTGCCTTTTGGGCGGCTGAACTACTTGCCATTGGAACAGCAGTTTATGCCCTGCCTTGAGAGGATCCTAGCTCGGGAAGCTGGGGTGGCACCCTTGGCCACAGTCAACATCTTAATGTCACTGTGCCAGCTGCGGTGTCTGCCCTTCCGAGCCCTGCACTTTGTTTTTTCCCCTGGTTTCATCAACCACATCAGTGGTATGCAGCATGGTGGCTGGCTGGGACTCTGAGGGGCAGGGGAGAGTGGGGTGGTCTGCAGCCCAGTGTGCCCCAGTCCCCACCTCCCTGCAGGCACCCCTCATGCTCTGATTGTGCGTCGCTACCTCTCTCTGCTTGACACTGCTGTGGAGCTGGAGCTCCCAGGATACCGGGGTCCCCGCCTTCCCCAAAGGCAGCAAGTGCCCATCTTTCCCCAGCCACTCACCACCGACCGTGCTCGCTGCAAGTACAGGTGGATGGGGCAGCTTGGGGCAAGGGGAGGGAACTCACACAGAAGACAGCAGAAAAGCCAAAGGGACCATAAACCACCTAAGCTAACTTGGCAGTCAAAGAACAATGGGCTCTGAGGCAGCAGGCCCCAAGGTGGTAGTGCTACACAGTGCAGACTAGGCAGAAACGCCAATGAGACTCTGGGCCCTTCCTGCTATCTTGTCCTTTTCCTGCAGTCACAAGGACATAGTAGCTGAGGGACTGCGCCAGCTGCTGGGGGAGGAGAAATACCGCCAAGATCTGACTGTCCCTCCAGGCTATTGCACAGGTGAGGTCCAGGTGGGTGGCAAGCTGGGGAGAGGGAGCTCTGGCTGAGGTCACTGGTCCTTCTCCCTGCAGACTTCCTGCTGTGTGTCAGCAGTTCTGGTGCTGTGCTTCCTGTGAGGACCCAGGATCCTTTTTTGCCATACCCACCAAGGTCCTGCCTACAAGGCCAGGCTGCCTCTAACCCCACTACCCGAGACCCTGCTCAAAGGTAAGGGAGGCAGGGGGCAGAGCCTCAGCCATCTTTTGCAGCAGCACCCCTGAGCCATGTTCCCCACTTCCAGGGTGGTGCTGATGCTGCGGGAACGCTGGCATTTCTGCCGTGACGGCAGGGTACTACTGGGCTCACGGGCCCTGAGGGAGCGGCACCTGGGCCTAATGGGCTACCAGCTCCTGCCCGTGAGTTGCCCTGCCCCACCCTGTCCAGTGTCTTCACTCCTGGCCAATGGTAACATGCTGCCCTCTCCCCACAGCTGCCCTTTGAGGAACTGGAGTCCCAGAGAGGCCTGCCTCAGCTCAAGAGCTACCTGAGGCAGAAGCTCCAGGCCCTGGGCCTCCGCTGGGGGCCTGAAGGGGGGTGAAGGGATTTAGGTGGGATTTAGGATGGCCCCCCTATGGGGGGTGACAGTTTGCACTTTGGCTTTCCTATGTTTGGTTTTTCATTAAAGTCCCTTTCCTTCCCTTTTGTAAGTCTCCTTTTTGGGACAGGGAGTGCAGGGCTGGGTCTCCTACCTCTTCTGTATATGTGTACCCCCTACAGAAACAATAGGCCAGGGGTAGGTAGGGGCTCAAGCACTTTACTGCGGTGGTGAGGGGTCAGGGGTGGGGACTTTAAATTATTCACTTAAATAAAAACAAGGAAGGAGGGGGGACGGGGAGGCCCATCCCACAGCCCATTCCCTCAGTCCATCAGTCCCTTGGCTGTCCCTCTGGCAGCAGCTACACAGGCATGGGCATCTCGTTGTACTCATCCACACCCTCCCGCTCGTCAAACACCGGCTCTGCCTCATTGGCATCCAACTGTGCAAGGAAGACACCATCAGGGAGAGAAGGAGAGGGACCTTTCCAGATCCATGGGTAGGAGGGACTAGAGTGTCGGAGGGGGGCAGGTGGGAGTCCTTACACATTTCATCTCTCGCTCGGTGAAGATGCGGGAGAGCACCACCATGCGTAGCGGCACTGTGAGGATGAGGATGAAGGGGAAGGCCAGGGAGGCTGCTGTGGACATGACGGCCCAGAGCAGGGCCAGGCAGAGCAGCTGCAGGGCCGTGAACAGGTGCATACGCAGGGTCCG